AGTATATATGACTATAAGAAATCAAATATATAGATATTTTAGATATTTCAATCAAAACTATAAACAATAGAATGAAAAAAGAGAAATTTTGTTTTTAACAATTATAAAAAAAGTTTACAAAATATATTTTGAAATGTAATGACAGAATCAAACAATAGTAAAAATCTCGAGTTCGAAATTAATCCGATGAGCTCTAATAAAGAATTTACTAATCGAAAAAAAAAACAAAATTCGACATCAAATTAGCCTTGTTTTCATTGTTATAGTTTGATTATATTTGAAGTTTGTTAACTGTAGGAAAAATTCTTCAATTAATCGAAATTACCTGGATCAATAGTAATCACAAGGTTAATTTATTTTGTATAATGAGATATGTAAAAGTATACTTCAATTCATACCTTAGTTAAAATTTAGATTTAGATGAGACTTTGAATTTTTCATTATTATAACGTATACATAAAATATACTTATTCTTATTCTTATTCTCAATTACATATAGAATCCATTTTGTTGAATAGTAAAAAGGTTTCATAGAAAAGCAAAAAAAAAATAATATGATCATTATTTTTTTTTTTTCTACTAATAAAATATTTGATGTCTATTATTTTAACTTTTAGAATATAATCAAATTTATTTATTTATTTACTTGATGAATAATATTCATCATTAATATGATTATTTATTTGAGTTGATCGTGTATATGTTTGATCAATAATATGTATAAGTCGATTAATATGTTCATTTTTTTCTTCAACTATTTTATCTAATTGTCGTTTAAATTCATTTTCAAGAAAATGATTTTGATTTTCAAGTATAAGATTTTTTTCTTGAAGATAATATACGTCACGATGAGCATAATTTAGTTTTTCACGTATTTGCTAAATGAAAACAAAAAAAAATTCCAATGTAATCGATCTCTAGATCAAAAAAAAAATATCAACAAGATACTTATTACATATAAATAGAATAGCCGGGCTGGGAAAGATATCTTACAAGTGTTTAAAGAATGCAATAACAATATGTAGAAATAAAATCTCATTCCCATACACATACTTCAGAATAACAGTACAACAAAATATATATATATATATGTATTTCGAATACATAAAAACATATTAGTTATAACCCTTTTTTTTTGTTTAAGAAAATATGAATATGTTTTATGTAGCAGAAAAAAAATCTAATCATATTTTGAATAAACAATAGTTAAATATGTATTAATAGAAATCTTTTTTTTTTTGTAAATATTGAATAAATTATTGTGAATGTAAATTATACAAACTTTTAATCCTTCAGAAAAATCTTTATCATCTATATTAAGATCTTGTAATAAATATCTAAAACGTTGTAAAATTGCAATCATTGTTTGTCCTTTTAACCATAATTTCATAATTATTTCACGTTCTTGTCCTTCATGTAAATGATGATCACGTTCAATTGCATTCATAACATCTTGATAAGAAAGAAGATTCTATAACAATAATATTTAAAAGTACATAATTTATAACAAGAAAAAAAATTCTATTGTTTTCAAAAGACTATACTTTTAAATTAATAGATGCAGCAACCGCAACAACTTGACTTGTTTCTAATGAACGATTTAATCGTGAATCTTGATTCGATTGAGATAAAATTGGATTTTGTTGAATAATATTTTCCATTCTATTTGTATTTTTTTTTTAAATTTATTCTTAATTCTTCATGATATTCATTTATAATCTATTATGTAAGAATAATAATAATAATAATAATAATAATAATTTTCTATTTCTTAATAAATAAATTTTTATACTTCTTGTGATGATGAATGTTGATTGGTAATAAGTTTTTCTTCGATCCAGTTATTCTATCTGTTTGTTTTACTAATTTAATATTATGATCATGATTATTCAAAACCTCAAAGAAAATAAATATAAACCAACCTTGACAATCACGAACATCTTACTTCATTCATTTTTCCTTTTTTTTTTCTCTCTTTCTCTCGTCTTTTCTCTTGATAAATAAATCAAAACAACAAAAGAAATGATGTATGTATATGCAAACAAAAATTGAAACATACAGACAAGAAAAAAAGAAAGAATTTGAAAGAAATAAAAATTTATATACCTTTTGTTGTTGTTGTTCGTTTGAATAATTTTTAATATATTGAAACTAAAATGAAGCAAATTATTGTATAATTAATGTTCAAAAAAACACTTTAGATCAATTCTCTATATTGGCTTCCTTCATACTAAAACATCAATGAGAGAATTGTCAGTCGATACAAAACACTCCCTTCTTTTTTTTTGTTGTATAGGGTGTGGGTGTGGG